AAATATATAATGATGAATTTCAGCTGATTACAACTCTGTATCTATGCAGATGACACAACTATTTACTCCTGTCTTAATTGTAAGTCTGACTAGGTTCAATAAGGTCAAATTTGCAAATGATTTCAAAAAGGACCTACAATCTGTTGTTAACTGAGGTAAGGAATGGTTTGTTAATTTTGACACCTCAAAAATAAAACTGCTCTCTATTAATTGTCTGATTCTGTCTTTCATCAGCATGGCTGATGCTAGCCTCCAGGAGAGAGACTCATTTTGCCTTCTCAGGCTAAAATTTTCCACTGACATGAAATGGAAAGATTATATTAAGATCAATTGCTAGGTATGCTCCTAGAAAAGTTGGTTCACTGTATGTACCATGTATCATTGGACTCATTTTTCTCCATGTTCATTACAAGTTCCTAATTTGAATTTGCCAAGTATTTCATCATCTTTCTCCTTTCTAATTTTGGTGTTCAGATCTCCCATGAAAATTGCACTTTCCTGTGACTTGCATTGAGCTTTGACATTGTCTAGCATACAGTAAAACTTTTTAATTTCTTCTGTACTTTGTACTTGGTACATTAAACTATGATGGATATGTTGAAAGGTTTCCTTTTCAGTTTAACTACAAGAATTCTTTCAGATAGTTTATAGCATCCCAGAACACATTTATCCATGTCTTGGTCTAATATAAGTCCTACTATCTTCTTATTTTCCTCTCCACTTGCATATATGACACTGTGTTTGTTACTGACAAAATCTCCATTGTTAGCCCATCTTGTTTTGCATACACCTAAAATATTTAACCTATTCATTTCCTGTTTTACATTCTCTAATTGGCCAAATTGTTTTAGTGTTCTGATATTCTATGTCCCTAGAAGTATTTTTTGCTTGATGTAAACATTCTCTAGATGACTCATATCTCCCCTAACTAGGTGAGGAGTTAATTCACCTCCCCCCACCCACGCCATACAGTTATCTTGTATAGACTTTACTCTTTTCATGTCGTTATCTTGTATACTAATATCATGGAGAGTCATGAATGTTTTTGAGATTGATAGTGGAGTGGTTTTCTGTTACCTTCTCCATGGTGATTTCTATTGAGATCAGTCAGTTATATGCCATGCATGGTACTTCCTTAGGTGATCATGTATCTTTCAATACCTGACTGATAAGGCAGTTTTTTTCCCACAATAGTTTGCCATTTCTTTCTGCAGTAGACCAGTTGCCATCCATCCCAATCTGTCCTGCTGGGAGTGGGGAGAATAGGATTCTTACCTTTCCCAAGGGTATTAGCACGTAAGTGAATGTAATCGATTTGAATGGAATTCGAAATCAGGTCTCCGATTCCTCAATCCGAACTGCTGTCAATTACTCCACTGTGCCTTCTTTTGAAATACTATCTCTAATTCACTTTAGTCCTTTGATAGGTGGGATTTTTTTTATCCCTTTAAAAGAAGGAACACCTCAAATCTTTTCTTTAACGACCTGACATTTTTTTGTATGTCGAAACGAAAAGTGGATTTTTTTAAATAAATATTTTTATACATTATATATTTTTTTACTCTTGCTATTGAAAATAATATTCAAATAAGAAAAATTAAAAGGAAAAAGATTGAAAAAAAATCTCGCACTGTTCCAAGAATTTCTTGCTTTCAAGCCACCTATAATCTAATTGAAATATCATTGGCTATCGTCAACCTTCCTGAACCCTTTTCTTTTATTGTCTCTTCTCACTAAAGTCTTCTCATTCTCTTTCACTCCCAGTAACCCCTTGCATTTTACTGGCATTATTACCTTGCTTGAAGTTGGCCTTCGTTATGGATATTGACTCAGAATGGGAAATCAGAGAGATGAGTTCAAATTCCAGTTAGATTCGTTACATCTATTTGCATACAAATGCCCATGGGGAAGGTATGAATCTCTCTCTTCTTCCCCCAGCTATGGTTAAATAGCTGGACAGACTGAGTCCTATAGACTCAGCTGGCAAACATTCTACTGCAAAAAGAAATGGTAACCTTCTGTTGTAAAAATCTGCCTACTCTGGCATGGATCAAAAGAGACATGATCATCCAAGTATGCATGACTGACTGAAACAGCAAAATTAATAACAAGTAGCTGAATAGGACTTATTCATTTTGACTGGTTGTTAATAATTTCACTGTTTAAGAAAATAAAAGAAACAGGTACAGCAGCAGAAACATATGTACCTACTAAAAATGACATTTATAGTAATAATAATATCATATCCTGACACTGATGTTTCTTGGTAAAATTTGTAGTCTTCAGGGGTTGTGGCTTTAAATGATATTTTGTGTGTGTGTGTGTGTATATATATATATATATATATATATATATATATATAATACAAATGTAAAATTTGTCACTTCGCTATCACTTTTACAGCATTCCCCGACCTCAGTTTTTTAGACCAACCTTCTACAAATCACTCCATCCACTCATCAGGGGATATCAGCAATTGACTGATTATATTTCTCATTTGCAGTTTTCATTGGTGTAGGGTTGATTTTTATTTTATTTTTTTTTCATTGTGTGTGTCTGTGTACTCATGAATGCTAATGCAGTCATCTGCTTGTATGTCATAGTTGTTTCTCCTTTTTGTTGTTCTTTTTTTTTTTTTTTTTTACTTTACACTCACTCATCATTGTTTTTTCCTCTTTTTTTTCACTTGTATCTGTTTTGACTTCCAATTCTTCAGGCATTCAGGTCTTGGTTAATTTTTGAGTGTTCTATGAAAACTTTTTCAGTTTGTCATGAAAATCAGAGTTGCACCAAACAGTGATGAACAAATATATACTTATTAGTTGTGTGTGTGTATATATATATATATATATATATATATATATATATATATATATACACACACACACACACAGAGGTGCACCATCAATTTTCCATCAGTTGATAGTCTGGAACTTCTTACTCTTGTACAGGAAATATTTAAATTGCATATAAGTTTCTAACAGTTGGTGATATGGAAATATTCAAATAGATAAGTAGTGAGTTGCAAGTGTATGATTGAATTGTTGCTGCAGTAAATTGGATAATCAGATCCAGCTTTGGAAGCCAAATATCACTGGTGTACTTTTATATCCTACTTTTTTTTCTTCTTTCTATCATTGCAAGAAGTATTGGGACAATTCATGAATTTGAACTATTATCAAAATTTCAGACTATAGATTTCCAGGTTCAGTTAAGTTTTCTTCTTCAAAGAAATGACTTGCAGATATTTAGAAATAGTCAAATTTAGGGTAACATTTTTAAGTAATTCACTTATATTTATTATTGTTTTTAATCATTTTCACAAACATTTGGCTATTATATTTAAACACTAAAATGATTTATTCTTTTTCTTTTCTTTATATACTTGAACTTATTTCTGCCATAGATATATGTCAATGGATTTCAATGCAGAAAGTTTTATTGCTTCAAGAAAACAATTCTCAATATAAAGTTCAGACACTATAACAGGAAATCATCAACATATACACAAAATCTCTCTCTCTCTCTCTCTATATATATATATATATATACACACACACACACATATATATATATATATATATATATATATATATATATATATGATTAATACAAATATAAAATTTGTCACTTAGCTGATTTATGTCATATCCAGTACCTAAATTCCAGAGTTTCATAAATGAAGCTTTTTGTAATCATTTGGTCCATTGTCAGAAGGTATCAGTAATTGTCTGCCGATTTTCTCATTTTCATTATTTTTATATTAAGTTAAAAAATAATTTATGCACTTTTTATTGGCGTTAGGTTTTTTACTTTGTGAGAATGTGTGTGTGTGTGTGTGTATATATATATATATATATATATATATATGGGCGCATGGCCAAGTGGTTAGAACATTTGCTTTCTGACCATGAGATCTGGGTTTGAATCTCACCAGGGTCGATTAGTCAGGAAGGAGACTTCATGATGCTATCGGACTGGAGGGGTCGATTCTAGCATGCGGCACCTTTGGAAAGTACCTGAAAACCATACCACAGGTTAACCCGAGCCTTTTGAGTGAGATTGTGTGTATTTCAAAATTTAATTACGTAATCCTAACTCAACATAAATAAACAGTATTTGGAACTAGTATGGAGTAGGTTCTGCATTTGTTACTTTCATATAATTCCTTTTAACTTAGGCATGAATGGATAATAATTTTGTAATTACATTGTATTTATAAAATATCAACAATTTTAATTTTGCTGTTACAGGTCAACTTCTGGGATAAGATGATTTTTTTTTTTACATGCATATACAAACATGTAATCAAATATACAGTCATCAAACTGTCCTAGGTATAATGATAAACTACATCCGACAGCAAGGCCTCTGATCAGGAGGTTTTGAGTAGTGTGGAATCACCTTAGTTGCTGTTGTTCCCAAGGTGGTCGCACCTGTTAGGGTTCCAGCTATGGGCAAATAGTGAACCCCACTAACTAAAGTCAAAACATAAAGATATAAAGATTCATTAGGAAAAATTACCAGCAATACATTATTAAAAAAAAAACATTACCAAAGCTCACAAGAAAATAAAATTTTGGCATTAAATGACTCATAAGGACTTGATATGCTGTTAAACAAACAAACCAACTAATCAACAGTCACTGAATTTTTATGCAAATTTGGTGAAAATAAGAAGAAATTCTATATCCACATGTTGGCATTATTTTGACTGAAATTCATCATTTTGACAAATTTCTTTGTTTAATTAATTTAACATATAAATTACATTAGCATATAGATTACATCAAAATTGACAGCTGGGTCCTATTATTGGAACATAGAAAATCTCTTTATGAACTTTTTGTTTATAGGTTAAAATCAAAATCTATGTTATGATAATTATTCACTAAAAAGTCCTTTATTTTTTCTAAAAAAAAAACCAAAAAACAAAAAAAAAACAACTTTTTACTGACCTATCTTCCTTGTTCCATTCTTTTTTTTTTTTTTTTTTTTAGCCAACACCTTGAGTGGGATTCCTTCTGGCTCTGCTCTTTCTTCACATGGTTCAGAAATGTAAGTACTGTTCTTTATCTATAGGTTTTATTCTTAATTCTTATGACAAATTTTATCTGGCACAAGATCCAAAATATTTGAGAACCTATGAAAATCAAAAACACAACATGAGTTAACGATCGGTGTGCAAGTGGTGTAATGGATAGTGGTTCTGAATGAGAAATTAGAGAATTGAATGCACTACCATACCAGCTTGTTAACCATCACCATAAGCCAATTCATGTGTGGATGGTATAATGGATAATGGCTCAGATTGAGAAATTGGAGAGTCTAGTTAGAATTCTAGTTGAATTTGTTACCATTATTTACTTACAAATACCCTTGAGGAAGGTATGGATCCATTTCTTCTCTCATCAGCTATGGGTTAAATAATGGCAGACTAGACTCTCTAGCCATGGTTGGAAACCAGTCTAGGAGAAGGACTACAAAACCATATGTAGTCCTGGGACTGAATAATGAGTTTCTCTTTGACAAGACATGATACCTGTGAGCCACATCTGTCAGGGTTATCATGAAAACAGTAGGATTTTAGATGCAATCATCAGCACAATGTAACAGAGCAGATTTGCAGATTTGTGTCATTGAACTGCAATTGTGACATGCAAAATTATACTTCATACTGAACAAGGGATGAGACCAGATTATTCCAAGTCAGATGGAAATTGCAGAAACACATAAAATAGCACCTTGCGTCTTCTGATATATATGCACAACTGAAACTCCCATCATGACACATGGTGCGAGGCATTTGAACAGATGACATAGTTATAACTTAGTAATATATTTTATTATTTTCTTTTATGCTTTATGATTAATATCTTTTATTATTCTACTATTGATGTTCTTTTAAATTACATGTGACAGCTCTTTCTCTCAAAATATCTCTTTTTATATAAACATTAAGTTCTCATTTGAATGTATAAAAAAATTTCATACACAATAATAACAGCTGTGGTATTAACAAAATGTTCATTAGGTTGAGGGTCATGTATGGGTTGGGGGTCCAAAGCATTTTTATCAATAACCCAGAAGTTCACCAGCAGTACCTTATGATACCACTCACACCCACGCACACATATATGTGATGATGATGGACTCTCATGTTGCTTTTCAATATATGAGGATCTGACAACCTCATTCACTTTTTATGTTTGTGTGGTATGTGACGCTTCAGTCCCACTCTTGACTTGCATACAAGTCCGCATATTGTACAATAGCGAAGATCTCGGGATATAGCAATAGGGATATTTTCAGATGTATTTCACTGTTGTGGAAATGGGATGTATATGTTGTCCACGATTCTGATCTGTATGACAGTGTGGTCAAAATGGCTGTTCTATAAACCTGTATTTTGGTTATTCAATATGATAGGTGGTGGTGAAGCTTCCAAAATGCACTCGTAACTTTGATGATCCAATTTGTTATTTTGTCATCAAATGATGCATTTGCATATATATATATATATATATATATATATATAGCTGGTCTATGAAATTTATTAATCATTTTCTTTTAGTATGCAAATAACTTCTTGAAAATGTGGCTGTTGCAGCTGTAAATGCAATTAAAATTCATTTGATTTTCTTTCTTCTCTTTATCATTTTCCGGATGATGTAAATGGAATGTTTAGATTTAACATATATTCTGCCTATTTTTTAACATTTAGAACAATCACATTTGGAAAAATGTTATTGCTATAATAAAAAAATAATGATCAATAAATGTAATAGACATAAAATGTCTATTCTTTTTAATAAGACACATTTTCAAGAACAATTGCTGAAAAATATACTGATTACATATACACATAGATATATATATACACTGGTGTGCAAAGGTTTTGAGCCAATGACTGTAAGGTACCTTGGCAAGTTATTAGAGTTGGACATTAGGTTGCTTTTTTTACACTAAAGTCATGGCTAAATTTTCTGCTGAAACAAAGATGAAAGTTATGACTTTGAAAGTGAATTGATTTCAGTTTACACTGAAGATTACGGAAAAACAACTTGAACTGGCATTTAGCAGAAAAAGAACATTATTAACCTAAGAACATTGAAGATTGAAGTGTGTTCACCTTGGACAAAATTATTGTAGAAAAGTTAAAATATGATTGAACCTCGCAAAATATTATAAGTATTCTTGAATTGATGTTTCACTGGCATTTATTGGTACCAATAAGGATTTCTGTTCATTTTTACTTATTTAGCATAAGTAGAAAAATCATTTATTTGACATTTAATCTGTAGTACTAAATCTTTTCTAATTTTTTAGTAACAAGTTTAGTATCAATTTATAAGTGCTTCTTCTTTGTTGAAAATGTCTCCCCCCCAAAAAAAATATTCCTGAAACTAAAAGGGCTGAAATTATTGCATTGTTCAAAGAAGGGTTATCCCAAGTCAAAATTGCAAGAAAAGTCAAATGCTCAAGGAATGGTGTACAAATAACTGTTAAAAGATATAATAAAACCAATTCTTTCAAAAATCATGATTGTCAAGGCCGGAAAATTATACAAACTCAAGTGAAGACAGACTGCGAAAGAAGGTTTTTCTAGGTAATAGGAAAAACTTTTCTGATGTGACTACTGAATTCTAAGAGGTACCAAACAAATGATATCGATTCGCGCAATGAGAAGAAGGTTAATAGAAGCTGGCCTCAAAGGATATAAAGCTAGAAAAAAGGCCATTACTATCTGAGGTTAATAAGAAAAAGAGACTTTCTTTTGCAAAAGAGCATGAAAATTGGATGGCTGAGGATTAGGCCAAAATTGTCTGGTTTGATGAAAGCAACTTTGAAGTAAGTTGAAAAGAATTTGAGCATAATTGATTTTATTATGCCTATTAATACTGTATTTTTATTGAATAGAAAATTATCTCTAGAATTTTTATTTTTAGCAGATTTTTGGAATCCTTGGAGAGGTTTATGCTTGTTGAGGATTTGGGGAAGCATATAATGTTCAATGTATTGCCCCAACTGTAAAATTTGGAGGTGGGAGTGTAATGGTTTGGGGCTTCATGTTGTCTTCCGGGACAGGAATGTTATTCACATGTGAGGGTAGGATGAATTTTAACACTTACACAATCATGTTAGACCAATGTTACCAACTTTCATTAGAGAAAATTTTCAGCAATAACATACCAGATGGAGTAATCAACAAGACAATGCACCATGCTACACATCCGGAGTTTCAAGGGTTGGTTTGAAAAGAAGTGAGGGTCATGAAGTGGCTTCCTCAATCCCCTGACCTGAATCCCATTGAACATCTGTGGTCATGCTTAGGTACTAGAGTGATGTTGCACAAATATTGTTCAAAATACGAATTAGAAGCCAAACTTCACAAAGAATGGCAGAAAATCGAGTCAACTACTTGTGCTAAGCTGGTCTCCAATATGTAAAAGCACATAAAGGTAGTTGTAAAAGCAATATGTTCCCTCACCAAGTATTAAATAGAGGTTAAATTTACTTTAAAATCTTTGTTCTTTTTCTTTAAATGATAAAATAAATGACCTTCAATTATATTTCTACACTTGCTCTATAATTTTGTCCATGTCTGTTTAACATGAGATGCTGGACAATGGCAAAAGGTAATTTTTAGTTATGAATGCAAAATAATTACACTCTAATGTAAGTGAATATGTAAGAAAATCAGTGGGAGAAATAAACAATGCAAGATGAACAATAAAGACGATAAACTTTGGTAGATACATAATGGTGTGGGGGTGCATCAAAAGTGTTGGTAGAGGAAAATTGGTAAGTTGATGGAAATCTATGAAGATGGAGAAGTTTTGATTTCAATAAAACTGAACCAGTGTGGTAGAAACTGAAGAAAAAGTGCTTCATTAAAAACCATGCAATCTCCAAGAGCTTTGAGATTGCTGTCCGAAGCATAAAAAAATTCTCAATGAGAAAATGTTAAACTTGTTCTATTTGATATCACATTGAATTGAAGCAATTATTCAAGCCAAAGAAAGCAACACTAACTGCATACTTTGATATTTTGTACTTTCTGTAATGATAATGACCACTTTTTGCAAAAAGAAATTCCTTAAGTAAAAAGGTGAATATTGAAATTTTCAGTATTGGCCTGATTTTCAGTGATTGCATCACCTTTTTTCAGTATCACTGTTCATAAGATGCTCTATCAACCACCATAGATTAATTAACAAAAACGTAGTGACTTGTTTGCTGTCCCTAAGATCATAAAATGAATATGTTGAGAAAAGCATACTGCTAATCACTCTTGATTTTGAAGTAAAATTAACAAAGGTAATTAATTTGCCAAAATTGCTGAAAGGTTTTGCAGCCATTGTGTATGTACAGGGCGAGATGGGTAAATTATCACCATTTTGTGCATCTGTGTCATTTGTTTCTGATTATATCAACTGCTCAGCATAGTAGAGTCAGTTGAGCACTGTGTGAAAAAGACCATCATGAAGCAATTCACTCTGCTAGAAATTTAGAAATGGCATACTGTATTGCTTGGCATTTATGCTGGAAGATCCAATACAAACATTTCAGAGTGTTTGGGTGTCAATCTAAAGACAGTGCAGATGATTCAGAAAATGTTGGATGAGTTTAATGGTAATTACAAATGTGTTTGGAGTGATCACTAGTAATGGTGACTCAGACTCAACACTTGAAGAGGTAATGCTAATCTGGGTCAAGAGGGTGGCTGCTGGAAGACCCTATGTCTGGCAACAGGACTCTGCACCATGCCACACAAGCAGGAGAACCCAGTCATGGCTATCAAAAAATTTCTGCAACCACATCACCCATTACATTTGGCCACCTAACTCTCCAGACTGCAACCCCCTTGATTATTATGTGTAGGGTGTAGTTGAGTGAGAGACCAACAAAACTCATTGTAATACCAAAGATGAACTGAAGGCAAAGATTATGGCAGCATTCACTAACTTAAACAAGGAGATTGTTCAGAAGAGTTGCAGGAAATTCTGAAGTCGTCTGGAGGCCATAGTTGTAGCCAATGGCAATTTTATTGAATA